ATTATTATTGTGCAAAAACTGTTTTACTCTCATTGGAGCCAAATCTTTTACTTTGGAAGTCGTCTAATCACTTTCTAATCATTTCTTTGAAATTGCCTATTAATTATTCTAAATCTATTAAAGACATTCAGAACAACAGATTTACAAAGTCTGGGGTGAGTTTGTCTTCAACTCTGGACAAAAGAAAAATTAATTAAAAGCTTAAGAACTTAAAAGAATTTGAAATAAACAGCAAAAAGCTAAATAAGATTTTGATCTAAGAAAGCTATAAATGAACTAAGTGTCCAGATAAATTAGAAATATTGACCTTTACTATACGATTTTTGGGAATAGATTTATTTTTGTTATCCTGGCAAGCGTGAATCATAACAAAAGATGAGTGATAATTTTAGAAACTAGATACTACAGGGGACTAAAGTTTTTAAGCAGAGGAAAAAAATACATGCTAAGATTTGGATGACAGATTGCAAGAGCCCCTTAATTGGAGAATAAATTCATTAATTACTAATTCAATTTTTCCCATTGTCTCTCTCTCTCTTCTACCAAGATGTTTTTTTTTTCTGAAACAAGACTTTTTTTTTCATTTGCATTTGCCAAATACAAATAATATACTCAGCACAGGAAAAAAATACTGTTGGGAGCACTGCTGTGCCCAGCGGTGTTTGCTTTGCTCTGATTGGTGCAAATTTTTTATTAAATATTTTGGCTCTTCTTGAGAGGCCTCCCATTGTGCTTGACCCTGACCTGCTCTAACCTGCCCAGAATTGTGCTTTCTGTACCTCTTCTATATACTTTTTATAGGAGAATGCTTTATGGTGGGAGTACTACGCAGTCTGGACTGTTGGGTTGAAAACAAAATTCAGTCTGCTTATACCTATGGTGTAAATGTGGAATGTGGAGCAGGTTTTGGGAGAGAGGAAATAAGTACCATAGAGAGTCTTCTGTATTTGGGATTGGGAGAAGAGTATGAAAGAAACAGATTATTAAATATTTTATATTTCTAATTATAAAAGGGTAAGGTGATGAAACATTGTTGGAAGTGTCTGTTCCCTGATTTACATAACATTCAAATCTAGACATCATATATGAGTATAATTTTATGGAATAAAATAAGGAACAAGCTAATGATATATTCCTGCAGCTCTGTTGCCAGACTGAATCAAAAGAAAAAAAGAGAAGTCAAAATCTCTACTCTTACAACTGAATCTTTCATATTAAATAATAAAGTTACTTATGCATAATACATTTATGGAGTATTTAAGAAGCTGAATAACAGCAAGTTTATCATATGAAAATTAGCAGAAAGTAAGTGGAGGGAAATAAACCACATAACTGGAAAGGGAGACATTTAGATAAGCGTATTGCAACTTTCTTTTTTTATCATAGCTCTGCACAGTTATTTGCTACCTCAATTTTCTTGTATCTTATACTACCTGTGAGTGATATAAACAGCTACTACACGTTGAAGTGTTTCTCATGAGTCTCTTCAGGATATCCTGCCCCTTGAAGATAAATGGATGTTGGCTTGGGGATGAGGCCATTATTATAGCAGTTTCCAGGATCTAGGATAGTATCCCCAGATCATTCACTTGGGCTGTACTTTTAGAAGACTTTTTGGTGCCAGAATGACTATAAAATTTATTCTTCTGGACCTTTTGAAATGGTCTCTTAATTAGATATAAAGCCGTAGTACTGTTCACTCATCATTAATTTTTAATTTAACTACTCGACTATTTTATACATGTCATGCAAAGTTCCCTTTTTTTTAAAAAAAGTAATTAGTTTTCCTGAAGGATGTTGCTAAAGAACACACTATAAATAAAGAAATAGAAATACGATAACATATGAAGTCTGTATTCAAAGAAAGCAACGTTGAGATTGCAATAATACCAGAAGCAATAATTGTGGCTCCTAGTTGATGCAACTGGATCAGTTTCAGATATTGTGCTACTGGTGAAACCTTTCCACTATGAGGATTTGGCTTTAGATTTTAATCCTTCTTCAGTTTACTGAATGTGATCAGAACACCTGGAATGGTGTATGAAGATCATCCCATATGTACTGAGGATATAGATCATGAACACATGGAAAAACATTGGCAGTCCAAGGAAACGACAGCCAATTGCAGCCAATTGCTAGCCATCAACACACCAATCAGCCAATAGGAAGGCACCACATAAACACAACTCACAGAACAGCTCAAAGCACGTAGCCCAGTAGAGAAATTACCTGAAGATGGGCTCCAACATGAATCCGAAAGCTGGGAAGTGTAAATCTCTGGTCCGGTGACCGACCCAAATTCGATTTCACATGGAAAAACATTTTAAAAGCTACAGGTTGCAGGGGAAAGCATTAGGACTTGTAAGAAATAAATGGCAGATAATTATATTGACATATTAAAAAGACTTTAAGCAGATAATTAAAATCTTTGGACATTTGTACAAAGGAATGTTCATGTTAATTCTTTTTAAAACAGGATTTTAGAAAAAAGAAAAACTTTCAAACACTTTATTATCGGAAGCTATGCTCACTTTGCCATGTCGTATCTTTTCTGAAGTTGCTTCTTTTTAACTGCAAATAAATGCAGCTTACTGGCTTTTGGTTTTAGCAATGTTATAAATTACAAGTTTATTCTGGTTTTATGCAAGTAATTAAATATGGACTTTGGAGAGGAATAAAGGTAACAAAAATTCCTTGACTAAAGTTCTTTTCCATGCAGTGTTCTTGGAAGGGCTTGTGTTACCTTTCTTCCAAGATGGTTCGTTGTTGTGTTTTTACTTTCCAGTCTATCCAGTTGCCTGGCAATTCCCAAGTGACCCCCCCCCTTCTAATATTAATCAGAATTTATCTTGTTCTACTTCTGAGTTCAGACAAAGTTCTAATATTAATCAGAGTTTATCTTGTTCTGCTTCTGAGTTCAGACAAAGTTCTAATATTATTCAGATTTATCTTGTTCTGCTTGTTCAGACAAAGTTAGCAAAGTGAGGCTGCCTTCGCTTTATGTCCACTGTGATAGTAACTACATGGTATCCTGTTGCACCTCCAATGAATTGCCAATCGATATCACTGAAGCAGTGTGTGTGTACATCTATACAGCAGCTTTACAATATCCTGTTTGAATACTTTAGTAATAAACCTGAAATCAGGAAAACAATACAATATAGATAGTCCTTGCTCAGCTACTAGAGCACTTTTACAGGCAATTTATGACTTTGGGGCTGGTTTCCAGCAAAGAACTCCCAAATGAATACATGGATTCACTTAATGCTTAGTGACTGTGACAAAGAAATGTCATGAAATCATGTCTAGTCAGGTAGGTGCCTTGACTTATGACCATCATGACTTACGAGGGAAATTCCATTATAGTCATAAATCAAGGGCTACCTCTACAACATTAGGTGGAGTTTTAGATAGCAAACCTTCTTTTGCAAGAGCTACATCGATAGCACTCTCTCCAGTATTTTGGCTAATGTGCATTAGGAGGCTGTGCAGAGTTCCCATGTCGCTGAATGGCCTTAGGTATGCTTAAATGGGACCTGGAAATATAAACATATTTTTTTAAAAACTGTAGACATTACTCTGTATGGAATGATTCTCGGTCTTCTTTTTCAAAGCAGCATGGCTGGCTAATGTAATGGAGTGGATTGCTGTACTTTAAGTAAAGTTGCCATATGTAATGTGCCAATTTTTTGACCTTTGATAATGCCAATAAAGAATCCTGGGAATTTACTGTGCAGTAAAAATAGACTGTAAGAATGGGAAAGGCTGTTATTGTGATAAATAAATATGAGTATGTTTATAGTGGTGCCATTCATTCCAATATTCTTTGAATCCAGTAGTGCTGAACATATCCTTAGAACGGTGGTTCTCAAACATTGTGGTCCCAGGACTTTTACATTCTTAAAAATTATTGAGGGCCCCCAAGAGCTTTGGTTTATGCAGGTTGTATCTATTCATGTTTACTGTATCAGAAATTGAAACTAAGCTATTTAAAAAATATTTATTTGACTTTGCAGACCCCTTCAGAGACCCTTCCCCCAAAGAGTCTCTCCGGACATGCTTTGAAAACAGCCGCCCGAGAATATTTTAGATATCTCTTACATTAGACCTTCTAATTCCATAGAGGCTGTTTTCTGATGCACACAAAGGGTTGAATTCAATGCTAGATTATCTGTTTACTGAAGCCCTGACACCTGCTCCCAGACAAGAGAAGGGTAGTTTTTTTTTTTTAGCAGATGCAACTCATCTGTTTTCAGTTTTATACAACCTGTGATTTCCCCAGAGTGTTACTGAACCACAATTTCTCACTTTCTGTGCCACTGGCCATGTGACTGAGATTGCTAGAAGTTACAATCCAGCAATATCTGGAACACTGTCTCTCAACTTTGGCAACTGTAAGATGTACGGACTTCACACGTTTTGAAGTTACAGTACTAAGGTTGAGGAACTGATCTAGAAAGATCTATGTTGCCATTCTGTGCCTATCCTAATTCATGAAAAGGTAGTCCTCAATTTACAACTGCTTGTTTATCAATGATTCAAAGTTAAAATGGTCTCCCAAAATACCCATCCTTGCACTTATGATCCTCACATCACCACCCCACAATCATGAGATCACAATTTAGATGCTGGCAACTGGCTCACATTTACAACTGGTTGTAGTGTCCTATAGTCATATGATTGCAATTTGCAACTTTCCCAGCAAGTTTGCCACAAAACATTTTGAGGAAACTGGATTTGCTTAAGAACACATGAATTTCTTTATGAGCAACACTGTTTCTCTTAAGAACTGTAGCAAAAATGGTCATGAAATTGGGTCCAGTCACATGGTGACTCAGTTTATGGTCTCACTGTCTCACGACAGAAATTCCGGTCCCAAATTGTAGTTATAAGTTGAAAATTACCTGTAGATGAATGGTTGGCATTGATTATCTCAGGGAGAAAAAAACAAAGATTGTAATGATAGGGTTAATTAATTTTTCTTTCTTTCTTCATTTTAGTATCTGAAAACTCTAAAGCACCAGATAAAAAAGTTGTCTCATCCAGCCGGCCCTCTTCTGCCCTTTTAGGACAGGGCACTAATCCTGCAGGAACCAAGACAGGTATTATAGTAATTTAATTTTTCCCAGCGTTTTCCGTGTATTGAAATGGGACAAGGCTTGTTATACTTTAAAGCACCAACATTCTGTAAATTTTAAATGTTGCTGTTTTAGTTCTATTTCAAGAATGCTGTTTTGTATATAAATTGTTTGCTGATTTTTTAATCCACTTACTGTGGGTGTTATTGTTTTACTTTAAATAATTCAGCAAACTGATGCAGCATTGTTATTAGGAAGAGTCATACGTAAGCATAGCAAATACAGTCAAATAGATATTAACTGCTTGAAATGCTACAGCATTTTATTAGCCCTGCAACTGTGTTCGTGCTTGTTATTGTATTGCTGATTCTAAACAGATAAAAGATAACGTAAGGGTCTGCCTCACTGATTACTCTCATTTGTGAGCCTGCAAAAAAACTGTTGCATGTGCTAGTAGAAGAAAAAAATACCATTGCCTGTGAATTCTGAAAAATAATGTATTCAGAACCTAATGTTTTGGAGAAAATAATTCACATATCCTATGGAAAAAAGTGAATACAGATTGTTTTTACTTTAGTATAAGAAGTAATTCTTAAAGAGCTATAAGTAGTCCTCAACTTACAATCATTCATTTTGCAACCATTCAAAGTTACAACAGTACTTACAGCCATCATCGCATCCCCAAGAGTCACAATGATCAAAATTTGGGCATTTAGCAACCAGTATATCTTTATGATGGTCGCAAAGGCCTGGGATCACATGATCACCATTTTTGATCCCACCTGGCTTCTGACAAGCAAAGTCAATGGGGGAAGCTGGATTTGCTTAATGACTGTGTGGTTCACTTAATAACTGCAGAGTGATTTGCTTTAACAGCTGTGGCAAAAAAAGGTTGTAGAATTGGATGTGAATCAAGTAACCGCCTTGCTTAGCAGTGAAAATTCTAGTCCCAATTGTAGAGGATTACCTGTAGGATGGATAGGATTCTACAGCACGTTGTTGTGAATTAACTTTAATGCAAGGTACTTAGAGCAGGGGTCTTCAAATTTGGCCCTTTTATGACTTGTGGACTTCAACTCCCAGAATTCCTCAGCCAGGCACACTGGCTGAGGAATTCTGGGAGTTGAAGTCCACAAATCATAAAAGGGCCAAGTTTGAAGACTCCCTGCCTTAGAGGTTCCCCAGTGTAAGCACTCTGCAATTGCAGACTGGAGTTCATACCACTGAAAGACTCTGAATATGCTGGACAGAGAACACTATGTACTTCCAGATGAAGTTTTTAATATGAAATTGCTTTACCTCATTCACTTATTTTGAGAGCTTTAAATGACCTTGTCAATATGCAAACTATTCCATTACCTCTCATTGCTTTTTCCACCATATTTTTTCTTTCTAAGAAAAAAAGAACATTAAAGGGGAAAAATATGAGATAGAAGCCCAATACCTTTTGATTATTAATATCTGGAAGCATTGCAGATTTCAGGGAGAAGTCTAGAAAACTTCAATAATACAGAAATGTACATGTTCCAGGGTATTTATTTTTAATGTAAGTTTTCTAACTGATTTATGGACCTGATCAAAATGATGATGGATATATCCTATTTAGACTGGTCCTCTGCTTCTCAGATGTGTCAGAAATGTAATTCCAAGTTCCCAACTAACACCTGGAGGATATATGGTTGGGAAAGATTTTAATAAGATGTTCTTGAATATGGTGGGGAAAAAATGAGACAAATTGTTAAATACTCTGTGCCTTTTATTTTGTTATGAAATAAATTCTGAATTGGTTTTACAATCCTGCATTTTTTAACATGACATCTTAAGAATAGATTTTTATGGATTGATGCTTAGAAGTATGTTCTGTAGAATTCAGGAATAGCTGCCACTCATATAAGATGAATAGATTTGGAGCCTAAATCTTACATTATTTTCACTAATTGTATACCAGTACTAAAAGTTGATGAAAGACAACGACTGGCCAGAGAACGAAGAGAAGAATATGAAAAGCTTTTAGGTAAGTCATACTTACTAATAAACCAAATAAATGTCCTTATTGATGGGTCGTCATAGCACAATATTTACTGTCCTTTGGATTATATCTCCTCCCTCTCCAAGATTCAAGTAAAACCAAGACTCCTGGCCTTTAAATGGATATTGAAGGCCTGGCTTTTATTCCTTGGCTTGGATGGAACATATGTCCCCTGAGTGACATTGTGTTAATGTGTTGGAGCATGTTGGCTTCCTGGTTGTTTCTATTTTTTATTTCTTTTGTTGTCTTTGGTTTGTTTTTAAACTTACATGACGCCTCAAATTGAGCTGGGCAGCCTTCTAAATATGAGAGAGAGAGAAACGCATAGGATTCTTGCATTTGATACCATGAGCTATGATAGATGTGGAGAGAATAAGGAAGTTCACCTTGAAAGATTTGCAGGTGCTAGAGCATTTTTAAGTCCAGAATATATAGATAATATTTGGAAGCAGCTCAGACAGAGACCTCTCTAATTCACCGAACTCTAAGAAGAAGGAGATCAGACTTTCACGATTCTGTTATAGTAACCAATCTCAATAAAAGTAATTTTAACCATTCTCTGGAGTTGATTTCATAGTCTGGTCTACCTACTGCAGCTGACAGCATAATTAAATGTGTTATATGCATGAATATATTTTTTGAAATGATAAGCACAGATCATAAAATCCAGGCCACCCATGCATTTAGCAGTGAGATTTTACATTTGCTGCAAGATAAATAGTAATTTTCTGCATTGGGTGAATTGGTTGGTTTAATGGCATAAATAGCCCCTTCAAAGTATATAATTCTGCAATTCTGCTCAATAACATGTATAGTGCAGAAATTGTGGCTTTAATAAGGATTGTATGCATGGGAGTAGAAAGCATACTACCCCAAGTCATTATGCACATATCTGAGTTTGATCTAAGTTGACACATGTTTTGGGATTAACAATGATATCTCTTGACCGGTTCCTAAGTGTTGTTTAGAATATTCATTCATGTGAAAAAATTGAGATAAAAAGCTAGCTACAGGACAGAGAAACATAGACATCTAGGGAAGATACTTAGACAATATGTGTCTTACGAATCAGAATATCAGCTTAACAAAAAACAAATAAATCTCAGGGGACTTTTTCAGTGTGAATTCTCCAATTATAGAATACTGTCTATCTAGATGACCCTTTGTTAATTTTTTTACTTTTACTTTATTCCTTTTCATTATATGCTTTATTACTCACTTAAAAGTGAAAGACTGTCTTAGAATTTCTTTTTTAATAAAACATTGAATGAACTTTTAAAAATTTGATTTATATTTTTTTAAAATTGTATTTTAGTTTATTAAATTGTGTTTGGGGTTGGTTTTCAACTTTTAGTATTTATTTTTTAGATGCTTATCCTGCCCTCTTTTCTTTCATATACAACTCAAGGTAGCAAATATACCAATACCTCTTTCTTCTCTTATTTTCCCCACAACAATAACCCTGTGAAGTGAGTTGGGCTGAGAGACAGTAATTGACCCTAAGTCACCCATCTGGTTTTTCATGCCTGAGGTTGGACTAGAACTCATAGTCTCCTGGTTTCTAGGCCAACGCCTTAACCATTATACCAAACTGGCTCTCATTTAATGAATTATATAATTGTATAATTATTTAATGGATTTTAGTCATAGTATCATGCATCTGTTCATTTATTTGATGATAGTTTATTTGAAATATTTTAAGCCCTTGTAATGCATCTCCAGGTTATGCTCAATGCTAAAAACACATTCAATCAAATACAGTAATAAAATATATTCTTACAAGGGCTGTAATTATGCTGGCAGCTGATTATGGTTTTTAAAGATGCATTGCTATGTCTTTAACATATAGCTGAACTATGACCTATGACTGCAATTAAAATTGGATTTCTGTTTTGTCGCATAGTCATCCAGATGTTCAGACTGGATTTGGCATTTTTATCCACCTATCGAGTCCTTGGGATAGGCAGATGTTGATGTTTGATGGTATTAGGTACCTTTGCAGGATGTAAGCTGTTCGGAGCAAAGCTGCCTTTTGCAATTGACTGATGGTGATTTGCCAATGCCAGTGGTGTTCAAGCAATGCTCCACAGTCATTTTATTTCTATTTACAAGTCTTTGTATTTTGTTATCTTCTCCAGTTCTTTCTTTTCTCTTCTGCTGTCTCTAGGTACTGCTATGTCTCTTCTGCTGTCTCTAGGTACTGCCATGTTCGCTATCCAGACTTTTTTGTCTTTCTTATTGACACTTGTTAAATCTGGGGTATTACTGTGTGTGGCAGATGCCTGACAGTCCCAGAGTACGTTAGTTCTTCATTTTCAATTACTTTCTCTGTTTTATGGTCCCACCAGTTCTTGCTTACAGGCAAATGGTACAGTATTTCTTGCAGAACTTCCAGGGTACCATTGTTGCTACTTTGTCATGCTGCTTGTAGTCAGTCTGTGTAATCTTCTTCCAGAAGCTAACCAAGTGGTTCACTGTATCTTCAGCTTCTTTGCAGAAGCAGGACTTGCTGTCTGTTGCTGTCTTTTCAATTCTGACTTTGTATGCATTTGTTCTTAAGCCTTGGTCTTGTGCAGCCAGAATTAGCCCCTCTGTCTCTTTCTTCAACTTTCCTGCTCTTAGCAATTGCCAGGTCTTGTTATTATATACTTTGCCTGTAATTTTTAAGGTCTGGCCATGTAATAATTTGTCTTCCCATGTCTCTTTTCTGTTCTTCATTTGGTCTTTCCTCTAGGCCAGTTTGGTCTCTTCAGTATTCAGTAAGCCTTCCTGGTATACTAACTTCAGTCCCTCTTCTTCACTGTCCTTCAAATATTTTTCCAATATCCTTTTTTCTTCTTCAACTGTCCACACCCACCTATTTTCCTTGGTAAGTAAAGTCTGTCAATGTCACTGCGAGGATTCAGGGCATGACTCATTCTCTTTATTTTTATTTTTATTTTGGTCTTCTGATCCAGGGCTTTTATCTCTGCTTGAGTCTAGTTCACTTCTCCAGTTATGCATCTCATGACTGGAATTGCTCAGGTGGTATTTCCTCCACTGAGTTTGGACTTTAATATCTTCTTCATTCTCTTGATGTATTTACCTCTAACCTTTTTCTTGTCTTCAGTGTGCTTCACATTGTCATCTTGAAGGATGCCCAGGTATACTTGTATTTGCCCCATAGGTGAAGCTTTGACACATTGAAATCCAATGTGATATGCCATTCTTCAATATAGAAATTATAGATGAGTAATATTTCTACTCATGACTAATAACACAATGAACATCCTTGTGCTAGGCTTTGTAGCCAGATAAGAATATTCTGAATATAGTTGGGCAGACTTTTGGAATATATATCTAATGTTCTACTTAACGATAAACAGGAGGCAAAATAACTTGCCATTTGCAGGCATTATGAAATAGAATAATTACATTTAACACAGTCCAAGTAATCCTCAACTTACAACTGTTGGTTTAACAATTGTTCAGAATTATGAAACCCTTGGAAAAAAGTGACATGACCTGTACTCACCCTTATGGCCTTTGCACTATCAATTGGGGCACATATGCAACTAGCTCACATACATGACTTGTACAATATCCTGCAGTCATATAATTATGATTTGTGAACTTTTTTTGCCTATTTGATTTCTATAGCCACCCATCTCAACAAGTGATTCTGGATGGTATACATTATAAAAAAATAAAAACAATTAAAAATAAATAAATTAAAACAGTACAAAATAAATATATATCGCACCAAATAAAAACTATTGCTAGGGAAACAGGGCCTAGCACATAAGGCACACAACCAATCTTCATTGCCTTATGAAAGGCCAACATGGTTGGGGTTGTCATATATCTGAAGGGAGAATATTCCAGAGGGCAGAGGCTAAATTTGCTTAGGGTGATTCACTTAGTGACCATGGTGATTCACTTAACAACTTGTGTAAAATTGCTATAAAACCTGGTCTGACTCAACTTATAACCACAATGCTTTTTAACAGAATTTCCAGTCCCAATTGTATTGTAAGTCTAGGACTACCCTTAGATATTGGTACCTGGCCTACCTTATGTGGGTTCAGAAAATAAGCCTTCATATACAGATGAATGACTACAGTAGAATTTCAAAGCCAGAAGCTAGACTGGAAAGTAGAAAAATAGCCCAGAAGACAGCACTGATAAATAATGTCAATATGAATGCCATGAATATGTCCATGTAGTTAACCAGAAATCAAAGTCAGCTCAAAGAATCCTCACTTGTAGCTTAGTGAAGAAGAATTGACCCAGTAAGGTCCCTAAACAAAGGGAATAGAGAGATGTAGATGCAGGTACAAATTTCAGTCACTGTTTGTGTAAGCATCAGAGTGCAAGATTCAGGTTTTGAATAATTTGTGACAGATTCATACATCCAAAACTGCCAGTCTGGTTTAGTGCCTAAGATGCTGGTCTAAGTCCTGCCTTAGGCATGGAAGTCAACCAGTTGACTATGAGCCAGCCATTTTCTCTCAGCCATTAAAAAAAAAGACAAGCCACTTCCAAATGTGTTGGCACGAAGAATGCATGGACTTTTCCAGGCAATTGACAGGAGTCAAGAGTGACCCAAAGGGGGAGAAACACCTAGCTACTTTTTGCTTGCTAATGAATGTATTCCTTTCAAGAAGCATTATGAGGATTCTTGCTGAAATGGTAATTGATAATGCTGTAATACCAGAATGCTTTGAACTTCTTTAAATATGGGCTATTGATAGTTAAATATTCATGTCATAGAAAAATATCCCCTCAAATGTGTGAAATTTCCATTAATATTCTTTAGTGGCAAGAGAAGCTGCTTGGCTAGAAAAAGAGGAGAGAGCAAGGCAACATTATGAAAAACATCTGGAGGAACGTAAAAAGAAATTAGAAGAGCAGAGGCTAAAGGAAGAAAGAAGGCGAGTTGCAGTAGAAGAAAAACGGAAGCAGCGATTAGAGGAGGACAAGGTAGGAGAAGTTCCTTACGGCAGGGGTCCCCAATCTATGAACCATGGGCTCTTGGCCAGTGGGCCGTGGAAATGGCTGGCACATTCCCCCCTACTCGCAATAGCGCCCGTGGCCCCATTTGCACATGCACGTGGGCGCAAATGGAGACGCTAGTGTGGGGCAGGTGTCCGCGGCCCATTTGTGCATGCGCCACTAGCCCAAGTATGTTGCACGGCTTGTTTGTGCATGCGTGAACGGGCCGCTACCTGCTCTGGGGGGTACGTGGCCATTCGTGCATGCTTACGGTGCCGCCGCATGCACAAACGGGGCTGCTAGTGCCGTGCCAGTGTGTGTGGCCCCGTGTGTGCATGCACCAATTTTGAAGTTGCTTTCCCTCCTTCCAGTCCGTGAGCCCGGAAAGGTTGGAGACCTCTGCCTTACGGGATCTCTGAGGCAATAAGTTTCTATATGGAGTAGTGAAAACAGGGCAGATAGTGGGTTCCAGTGAAACGTAGCCATCACATGCCAATATAAGTTAGCCCATTCACTCTTTTTGAGGAACCAGAATTCTGCCACTTACAGTTCTCCTTCTTGAATGTTTCTCATTACAGCTGTGTAGAAAAAGAGCAGGGACCCTGACAGCAAAGGCAGTGGAAATATAGGAATTCATTGATGCCCCCTCTCACTGGATTGCCTTAAGATCAACACATTTTATACAATCGATTGCATTTACCATTTTCAGATTATTAAAATGAATGAAATGAAGGCAACATCACTTCAGGCCAGTGTAATCATTTGCTATCTCATTAGGAACGACATGAAGCTGTTGTGCGCCGCACAATTGAGAGGAGCCAGAAACCAAAAGAAAAGCCGAATAGGTGGTCCTGGGGAAGTACACTTCATCGTAGCAGCAGCGTTAATAATGCAGGTAAAATTGGAAGCCAGGTACCTCACTCTGTCTCCTTTTTTTTGGTACTAATAGATATATGGGTTATTTAACTGAAGACGATTCCTTTCGTACTGAATTGCGTTTTAGACTTTAAGTACATATGTCTCCAGATGTGTGGTGCCTCTTTCTTTTAATGCTTAACTTTCCGGAATGACAAACTGATCTAATATTTGGACATCTGATCTCTCCTTTCTAACTTCATTTGTATTTGTATTTGTATGATTTGTTTTGTCTGTTTCTGTGTGCTAGCACTCTGTTTGTTTTAAGCCAAGCTTTTTAAAATTATGAATTTAATTAGATATTTAGATAAGTAATATGATTCCTCATAAAGCAATGAAACCGATGCTATATTGTGTTGTACTTGTGAAAGCCTTTGTATAAGGAGAAAAATCCAGTACCCAGCATTGCTTATTAATTAATATTTAAAGCTCTTAGGCAGATTTCTCTTTTCTCTAATGAATTTGGCTTTGGAGAGATTTTTTTTCTCCTTCCATTCAGTCCTATCCAATTCTCGGAGACCGGCTGGACAAGTCCTTGCGGTTTTTTAGGCAAGGTTTTTCAGAAGTGGTTTGCCATTGCTGCCTTCCTAGGGCAGAGAGAAAATGGCTGACCCAAAGTCACCAGCTGGCTTTGGACCTAATGTAGGACAAGAACCCACAGTCTCCTAGTTTCTAGGCCAGCACCTTAACCACTACACCAAACTGGCTGTCTTTGAGAGATTATCAGCTATTAAATAAATAACTAAATTATGGCTTATCGCTTCTATATTTTCCTAAACATATTTTTTAAAAAATGTAATACCGTATGGTGTTATAAATAATATATATCGTAATATCTATATCTATACAGTCTGGTGCAAATATAGATGCATACTGTTAGGTCTGCAGTTTTCAAAATCATTGGGGTGTTTAAAAGCTTGTGCATACACTGTACCCTTCTGCTGTTCATTTCAAGCAGCCAATCTCTTTTCTCAGGTCTCTGTATGAGTTTTAGGCTATTTCAATAAATAGGGGAGGGATACACATTGGTATCTGACTTCATTGAACTATAGGTTCATTATTATATGAAAAACATAACCATAAGTGTCCTCCTCCACTACAGTCAAATTCAGAGGAAACTCCATACCATAGGTTCTGCAAAAAAAGGATACTATTCATCCGTTTCCTAAATGTCATGAAAAACCTAGAGGAATTCCTCAGTTTTCACCCAATCGGATCTTGGGGATACATAGCAGGTCCTCCTCAGCTGAAGGAGGATCTTATTACAGATGGACCTGAGCTATGCAGAAATTGTGTTTCTATTAATACTTTATTTTCTTCCTTTGAAAATGCACTAGCAGGCATTATTGTATTTGTTATGGGACAAAAACATTTATCGTTGCACTTAAATTATAAATAAAATGGTAATGTCTCCTTTAAGATAAATTAAGTCATTAGCAATTTCATGGACACCTCAGTTCAGAGCTCTTTTGGCAAAAGTATGGAAGTGGCTTGCTATTTTTTTTAATTGCCTAGTCTAACTGACAACTTTAGATTTCCTGACATATATATATGTTTTTCAAAATTTGGATTGCTAACAAAGAATTAAGGGAGAACTGGGATGGCCATTTTGAACTTTTTAGTTCTTTTCAACCAGACATACCCTTCTGAGATTCGAACCTGGGCTGTCTGCATGTTAAGCAGATGTGTTAACCTCTAGGCCACAGGCTCTTTCTCACTTTGTCAGCTACAAGAGACAGGGGAAGAGAATGAATGCTTTTTAGTGCACCCTGTCGACCCAAATATGGGAGAGATTTCTCTCTCCCATATTTGGGTCGACAGGGTGCACTAAAAAGCATTCATATATATATATATCAACCAAAATGAGCTAGATACTGCTACAAGATCAAATTGTTGTCTTTTTCATAACAACGTTCTACGTGTTATTTTTACTTTTTGTGTAACTTGACTGCTTCTTTTTAAATTTTTCTTTACTTTTGAAAATCATTGTCTTGCATTCTGTCCTAGGTTATTTTGTTGAATCATCCTTCACTCTTCTCGATTTAGCAGGCTTGGAGTACCACTTCAAACCTCTGGGTGGTGTTAGAAAACTCGGTACATAAATCACTATGATTTGTTGAATTCATCACAAGTAGTTATCTCCTCAAAATAGGCTCAGTATGCCAGTACCTAATCCATCTTTTTGTAGACTGTGTGCATGTCTAACACTGCATAGACTAGACCTGATAGATAGCCCTTGCTTTTTCCTCAAGTTTACTGAATTTATTACCGGGCGACTTAAAGAATGTGGCACAACTTCTCAAAATGCATTGTACAATTCTGAAGCGATGCTGCCTATTTGGAATATTTTTTTAACCTTGAAAAACAATGTTTTCAAAATTCTTTTGGATACAAGAAAAAAAGCATTGTTTTTGTTTTTCTATTACTTCTTTTATTGTAGAGTTCTTTAAAAATATGTGTTTATTATTCTTGAAAACTATTAATGTTTTCAAGCATGATTTTGTATTTTCCAGTGGTGTAATTTATCATTGCATTTTTAAAAAAACATTATCAACATTTTAAGAAAGGCAAAAACAATCCTGTTGCAGGATTACCCCGTGTACCTACCTATGCTGCAAAAGGTTCTCACTGGTTATTATTCAGGAACTTTTCCCACTATCTCTAGATCAGGTGGCACATAAGACTTCTGGAAAATATTTGCATCAGCATCTTTCCTAGCTCTTCTCATGGATTCCTTTCTTTGCTCTGAATCCCATTGTGTCATTCTTCTCCATGCACCTGTTCTTTTTTTTAAAAAAATAAATGTTTGCTTTGGAGGAAAGTGGCTTTATGTTGTTTTGAAAAAGGAATAAAAGGATGTCAAATGACTGCTGGGTCACATTGCTGTGTATCCATGCTGAAAACTCAACTGTCCTCTAAAAAAAACAAACCCCAAAGTCATCAAGTTGGAGAGGAAATAACAGAGTGAAATTACATTGTGTGCAGGGTGCACTACAGTGGAAATCCTTAGTTGAGGGACATCATGCAGAAGATAAGGAAGAGTTGAATGTTTCCCACAAAGCTGCAAGAAATGAAGTTAAAAAAAAGATGAATTGGATTATATAACGTTTATCCAGATAGCCATTCAGTGATGCAACTTTTTCTCGATCTGACATCCTCCAAATGACTTGGGGCAATAATTCTCAGAATTCCCAACTAGCATAGCGTTTGTTCTCAGCTGTGTTTGATCTGTGACCCCCCCCCAAATATTTCCAGACAGAATAACTCAAAGCTGCCTCATCCTAACTGGAAGGTATGAGGGTAGAGAAGGCTGCAGCATTGGTTTCTAAGATGTCAGTTGTATTAAAATGTTGCTACTCTCTAAGGAAAACATTTTTATTTAATGCATCAAAATCCTTTCCACACCATGGCCCTTAAGGGGGTTAACATCAACCCAAACAACCTATAACAGTGCTATTTTACAGATTTTTATCTGTAAAATAGTGAGATTTTTGAAAGTGGAAGTAGGTCTGGCTATAAGATTGCATGCATGAGCTGCACAAAATTCTGCCTGTAGCACTTTCACAAGAAGTGCCTGAAAATGATCTCGCAGGAACTTCTTTAACTTTAAAAGTTCCTGACTTTGAAATTCCATGGTTTTCTTTCTGTATCTGCCTTGTTTCTATATCTTTCCCATATGAACATACAAGGACATGTAACGTTGCGGGATTCTAGTTTATAGGATTCTCTTAACAAATAGTTCAATGTTCTTTTTTTTTTAAAAAAATGTTTTATTCATTTAATTTCTCATTTCCCTCAGGTTTACTGCATTATTTTGAATGTCAGTAAAGTACAATGAAGTAACCCTTTTAAATCTCATTGCTTTACTTCTTATTCTTCATTTGCATTTATTTCATTAAAGAGAACATTGCTGTTTTAGTAGGAGTTTGGCTGCAATTTTAAATTAAGTGTGCAATCCTATATTTATCTTCTAAACAGTAAACCCTCAATTGGACTTATTGCAGGATAATTATAGGATTCCATTTTGTGCCCAATCTTTGAGTCACCTAAAAAAAAAGAAAATCCCTTGATATGTCCTCATAAAGCATAAGAAAACAAATCTTCCTATTTATGCTCTGGAGGACTACAAAGTCACATTGCTGCATGCGGGCTGTCAATTAGCATTATTTCCATTTGTTTTAGATCCAGACAGGCGATCTGTTTCAACAATGAACCTTTCGAAACATGTTGATCCAGTCATTAACAAGCGGCTCTCCTCCTCATCTGCAACATTACTAAATTCTCCAGACAGAGGTACAGTTTGGAAGAAAAGTGAAAAACAAAGGACCAAAAAATGTTCCGTATGATAACTGTTTTGAAAAATTTGAGCAGCTCTTAAGTAATTTCCTTTATATTATTAGAGGAAACAAAATGTGGCTTTGGACAAAAAGCCACCTTTTGGATAGGAAAAAGGACACACATATTTGAAATGTCAAAACTTACCTGAATCCACATATTTAGCAAATACATAAAGCAGTGCTTCTGTCAGGTTTTTTAGTAAATGGTTTTTTTTAAAGAAAATTATAGAGCATCTGCTCATTTCTCCATTGTGCATGGAATATATTTTAATTTTTGTGCATCATCATTGGACTAGACCATATTCATTTGATTATTTTTTCCCCTTTTTTACCATTAAAAAAGTGCTCTTGAACTTCACTCTGGTTAGTCAGTTTGATAATTCTTTGACTGAGAAACTGGGTATTCAGTCTTCCTATTGGCTTCATATCTTGACGTGCTTACATGTCTTCCCAGAGAAATTATTCTGAATTATATTTCAGTCTTTCAGCTGTTTAAAAAGAAAGCAAGTTATTTTTTTTTCATTGTTCTTACTTTTTATTAGATATAGAGAGGAATTTTTTAAAAGCTGCTCAGTGTTAATCAAAATGTCTGAAGAATTGTTATACTTTGGTTAGATGCAAATATATTTTTTAAACCAAGGATTATTTAGGTTTTCCATTATGATGTGAAACTTGCTTGGAAGGTCTCATCCATTTGGTAAATGTACATATGTCTGATAGAGAATTTCACTGAACTGAGTGAGGCATACTGTTGACTAGATTATGTGCATGGGATAATTTTGATTACAGCCATATGATTGTTAGACTTAGTGCATTATGTGCTTTTCTCCATATATGGAAATAAGTACATATCTATGAATTATAATTGTTAAACTGACAATTCCATTAGCAAATGAGGACCTAGATTGTTGTGGGCAATATGCTGACATTGTAAACTGCTCAGAGTTCCTTAGCATTTTGGATAACTTTATATTTAATCGTTGGTTCTTTCTCTTGCCATATAAACCTAGATACAGTATATCTTTCTATCACTACTTAAATGATACATCGGTTGTCAAAATAGGTATTGTTTGAAAGAAAAATATCATTCAAGGCAATACATTCATTTTTACAATGGAGGTTCTCCCCAACACTGACAGCGGTAGTTTCTTCCATCTTAATATGAACTTTTTAATTTCATTCCATGTCTTAATAAGGAAAAGGGAATATTTTGCTGATCAGAAGTCACTTCACTATGGACTGCTGGATCCACTCTATCAGAAACATCTAGTCTGCCATACAACCTCAGCCTTGGTTGGTTTGTGTGTATATGTGTGTCCTTGAGTCAGCGTTGACTCCTGGCCACTGCCTGGACAAATACCTATAGAGTGGGTGGTGGTGGGGTTTTTTTTGTTGTTGTTGTTGTAAGATTTCATAAGTGGTTTGCTATTGCCTGCTTCCTAGGGCTAAGAGAGAATGACTGGCCTAAGGTCATGCAGTTGGCTTTGTGTGTAAGATGGGGCTAGAATTCATGGTCTCCCAGTTTCTAGCTTGATGCCTTAACAACTGCATCAAACCGTCTATCCGATGTGTAGTTATTGTCTTGAATTTCAGGGTGCTCACAGAAGGAAGAAAAGACAGTGTTTTCATGCTCCATCACTCATTTGGTCCTTGTTATTCTCTTCTCATTGCTAGAGAACAGTTTATTGAATTGAATGTGTGTAGCTGAAGTGGCAGTGAGTATAATCATAAACATACATTAATTATACCAATCAGAGAAGAGAAATAATAATTTCAATAGTATTCTTTAGGGTTTTGCTATAATATTTGCCTTCTTGCTTCCTTATCTACATTGGTTAAAGATGCACATTTAATGACCAATGATGTGCTTAATAGAGACATTCTTAATATATTTTGTATTTTATATAATTTGCCTGAATATGTTTCTATTAACTGTAAAAGCTGTTTTACAATAATTCATTACAGAACATTTTTTATAAATGCATTTTTATCTTTACATGGGATAATGATTTCTTATCTTTTCATACACACACACACATACACATAAACACACATATAAAGGATGTTCAGATTATTGCAAAACGATGCATCCAGGATTGAACTTTGCCTAATATAAACTTTTCTTTTGAGAGGATCTATTCCTCTTTCTTGGTAAAATATATGTAAGCTGCGCACACAAATAATGAATTATTTCATGTTAAATATAAATAGGTATGATTTGTTTTGATACGTAGTAACTTAAGAATTATTTTCAGGGTAAGTTTGAACACATTCAGGATTTGGTGCTTCTTGTAAATAAACATGTTGGATGTTGACTTAAGCTGACCTTAGGGATTATGCCATATCAAAAATAGTGGTGTTTTTTTTCCCCACAAGCATCATTAAATTCTTTAACAAACAGCAAATCCATGGCAGGCTATGTTCTCCAACTTGTAGCCAGAAATAAAGGAAAAGTCTGTATCTCCTCTGCCTCAGAGGCAGGCAACTTCCATTCTTCTCCATGGTTTCATTTTCTGCACATAATTAGATGCAGTGTAAAACATCTGTGCTTAATCTGCTGCCTTTAGAGCCGCTGAAGTAGCTTACGGTAAATGATTTCTTTATGGCTCTGGTTAATTATAGGAAATGTATTTGAGAGCACTTTTCTTTTTTGTGCGAATTTCAATATTTATATTTTCACTAGGCCGGATTAATTAGCTTTCTGTAAGACGTGACGTCGAATTTCTTAGAAGTATTTTTGGGAAAAAATTGCTGAAATGGAAAGGCAAGATGAATTAGTTGATTAGCAATCAGTTGTCTTTCCAACGTTTTTAATAAATGCTTATGTGTAATGAGGTCAAGGTTTAATTAAGCACTCTTAATGCAATTCTCTGTGAAAGACATTTGATCTAACATCTCACTTATATGGTGACATTCAGCTCGACGTATGCAGCTAAGTCCATGGGAAAGCAACGTTGTTAGCAGGCTTCTGACACCAACTCATTCATTCTTGGCCAGGAGTAAAAGTGCAGCAACTTTATCTGGAGATGCAGGTAAAATTAAAACATCAATGAATTCTCTTCTGAGTTATATCCTTTTAAAAATATACAGCCTTTTAAATTTTGCTTTTGGAAAATGTTGGGCTGGTTTGGTTGTTGTCTGAATCTTGACTGAAGGAGTAATCTGCATTCTTTTCTCTCTTTCCATTTTTTGAGCTCTTCTTGCTTTTCTCTGTAAATCTCTAATAACTGAGTATAAAATTATCTAATTTCACGAGCAAAGAGTGTCTCCCTTCATTAATAAGCTCCCCATCACGTTTTAGAGAAATTTTGTAACCATACCTGTCCTACTTATATAATAAATTGACCATTCTTTGAAAATGGTTTTAGATAGAATTAGGTATTGACATTTAAAATTACTGAGTCAGTAAAACAGAACTTTCAGTAAATCAAAATTCCTTCATATAGTTCCCAACATGCTACCTATTACTTCATAGTCAGATTCTGATATAAATATGTCTTGATTTCTCATATATATATAATTTAACAAAGAAGAAGCACCGTGTTCATATGAATTTAGCTCAGACAGATTTGACGAAAGTTACATTTTTATATAAATTGAATGAATAAAATTAATATTGTCTTAATGGTACTTTAGGAAATGAGTACTTTCATAGCTTAAGCAACAGAGTTAATGTAGGACATTCCAGTTGCTTTCAGCTTAATTTTTCATATAAAAGAAGAATTAGAATAGGAATTGAATCTTATTGAGCTTTTGGATGGCGTAAGTGGAGACATACATATTTTTATCCTGCAATTTTGGGAATAAGTATCCTTGTGGGATTTATTCTTAGGTAGACCTTTGTACAATTGTGTATTTTGGTAGACCATATTTCTACCTAAATAGGAAGAAATGTAATTTCAGGTCTCTAATTTGTAGATAATCCCAGAATAGCTCTAAGCATTCTGCTTTTTCTCTGCTTGTATATTAATACTTTGCTTCCTTCGTTTCTTCTTTTCCTATCTCTGGTTCCTGCTCTGGTTCCTGCTCCTGTCTCTTGGGTTTCCTTCTATATGTTTGGTTAAATATATACATGGGAAAAAATAAATACCCTAGTTATCCCCATTTGTCCTCGTTCAGCATCTTGCAGCCCAATCAGCCCTCTCTCCTTCAAGGCCATAAGTTGCCAAAGTCCAGCAGACCGAGCAAAACTGTTTGGCACAGCCCCTGAGGTTAGACGGCGAAGGACCGCACATTCAGCTGGGGTAAGATCCCAAATTGGGAATTGCACCTTTGATGAAATCATACTGAATACAGCTACCTTGGTTCTTTTCCTTACCATAGGAAAGTAGTTAACATAGAGAAAAAATGTGGATATGGAGTCATACTATTTACATATTAAGATTTGTCAGTGGTGAGATTCAAATACCTGAACAACCAGTTCTCTACGTGGATGCCGCTTCCAGAGGTCCGTTCTGGGCCTGGGCCTCCAAGGCTCAGAACGAATTTCCAGAAGTGGCGTCCACGCTTTTCCAGTGGGCCGTTCTGGGCCTGGGAGGCCTGCCCCAGGCCTCCGAGGCTCAGAACGGACTTTCGGAAGTGGCACCCAGCCACTTTGGGTGGTCCCTTCTGGGCCTTGCGAAAAAGAGCTAGGGCTTCAGCCGATTCGTCGAAGTCAACAAAAACCTAGCTACCGGTTCTCCTGAACCAGTGCAAACCAGCTGAATTCCACCACTGAGATTTGTGCATTAAGACTACTATAGTGATTCAGGTTAATTAGCAGAATTTTTGTGATCATTAAGGACTTTTCACCTAGTAAACTGCCTGCTGTCTGTGAAAATTTCACGAGCATGGGAACATAGGTTAGTTCATTAGTTTTACATTTTGAATTAACAGCTTTGTGTTTAAAAATGAACGAAAAGAATAGGAAGACATTTTCAGATACAAAGTTTATATAACTGATAGACCTTTAAGGAAGGGTCATAGAGCATTGCAGGTTATATGCTTTGAACACAGAAGTGCTCAGACAAATCTCATCATCATCTGTAAAAGGATTATGCTTGAAATCAAGAGAGCTACTAAGTGGTGTCCATGAAATGGTGGTCAAAAAAATGTAAGATGACAGTTGCAAAAATGTGACCGGGACATAGAGTCAAATATGACAAGTAGTGTTGCTTATTTGGATAACCTCTGTAGATGCTGCTGGAGCTAGGTTGAGTAAGATAAGGCTGTTCCTCTGGTTTTAACTTTGACCTTTTTTAATGTGTTATAAACTGTAGAGTAAGGAAAATTGTCTTGATAGAGATTTGCAAGATCCTTTAGTAAGGCGATGAGGGGTGCAAAATATGTTTCATATAGTGCTCATAACGTCTCAGACAGGGACTCCCTAATTCACTGAAGTATAAGGAGGGAGGAGGTATAGCACAATCAGACTTGCCAGTTTCTATTATTATAGCTAATGTCAATAAAAGTAGTTTTTTTCCATCAACTTCATTTCTTGATACGGCCTACCTGGTGGGGTTGATATAAGCTGTAATCAAACAGGATCATTGACTTTCTTGAAAACTGTAAAAATGTTTACAGGACCAGGTTAAATAAAGAACAAATCAGAAACACATTTCACTGAACTCAAAAGCAGTGTATTTGGAACTGATGTATTTAATTGCTTGAATTCTTCCGTTATGGTTTGTGAACTGTAGCTTTTCACTTAGTGTCTGTGAGGATAACTCATGGTTAAGCAAACCATTATCAGATGGTGCCAAGACATCGTTTATACAATTAGCCACCATCTCTGCATTCATGGATAGTGCTAGGCCATAAATAATGATTCACAAACCATAATGGTGGGATTTACAAATCAAATTGTAAACAAACAAAAATGGAATGGCTTAAAATAATGTTTCAATCCAGATAATCAGAAGATATGGAATTCTATCCTTACAAAATGCAAATTAAAACAAAAAAAATAATTACATATCATGAGCCCAATCTTTTATCCACTTTTGAAACTGAAGAATAATTAACATTTGTACAGTAGTAATTTGCGATAGCAAATCTTTATTTCTAGGTGCATTTAATAAGGGGGCTTTGTTTCTGTGGCTATGCAAAATGCCTCACTTGTCCTATTTGTTCAATATTAGAGTAGCAGAAAAGGAAAGGAAAGGGGACTCTCATCAATTAATATTTCATCTGGTAAAAAGAGAACTCGTTCACCATCTGCCTTCAGAAATAAACCAGCTGCTTGGTAAGTAACTTAATATTAGCCTGTATTTTATCTTAGTTCTATTTGCATCTTCTATAGTTGCTGTAAGAATTAGTTGGTATATAAACATGGGGAAAAAACAGTTGGGCTACACAAATAGGAAGAAGATACCTATATTAAAGGATCACCCATATTCTGATTTTTTTCCAGACTTGATGGATAGTCAGAGGGTTCCCCAATCTGGTAATATCCCGTTGGGAATGATGATGTCTGTAGGCAGGTACATTTTGTTGTTGTTGCAAAGTCGTGTCCGACCCATCGCAACCCCATGGACAACGTTCCTCCAAGCCTTCTTGTCCTCTACCATCTTCTGGAGTCCATTTAAGCTCACGCCTACTGCTTCAGTGACTCCATCCAGCCACCTCATTCTCTGTCATCCCCTTCTTCTATTGCCCTCAATCTTTCCCAGCATTAGGCTCTTCTCCAGTGAGTCCTTCCTTCTCATTAGAAGGACTTGAGTTTCAACTTCAGGATCTGGCCTTCTAAAGAGCAGTCAGGGTTGATCTCCTCTAGGACTGACCGGTTTGATCGCCTTGCAATCAGGGGAAACTACCTTGGTCCAAATTGTGTCATCAAATATTTCTAGAAATCTTGTCTGCAAACAGACATATTCATTCATAGGGGCATATAGACAGTAGAAGTTCTTTTCTCTAAGAAGAGTGTTCTGTGATTCCCCTTTCTAGACTCTGCAACCATTTGTAGCTAACTCTCATTTAGTAAAACAATAGGTATCTTAAAGACCCATTCATTACTTAAATAGCCATTTTCATCTAAGCCCCTCAAAATTATCTCAAAAGTATGTAGATTAGCTATTTCACTCAGTTTTTGTGCAGACATAGCCATAATCTCTTTTTTTCCCTTTACAGTCTTTGCAAGATAAAGATGTTGAATAGAGGTCTTATAGGCAAAGCAGGCAATGATAAAAATAGGAAACTCCTACCTTTTCTCTCCCAGTAGCCATTGTAACATCACAAATTGTTTTGAAAGTACCTCACCTTCAAAAGAGGATTACTCTGAGGTGAGGCAAGGCTTCTGCTTCTCAAAACAAAATGCCCTGCCAAAGTCATTTTGGGATTATGAAGATGGTACCACATTGCTGATTTGTAGTTGAAGCAGAACCTTGTTCTTTTTGAGAAAAAGAGGCAGATAGATTTTAATAAATCTTCAGCAACGTGTATTAAGCTGTGCCTCATTGAAGCATAACATCCTCTTTCTGTGGTCATCTTTATATAAGATATAAACTGTTTCTCAGGTAGTTTCTATTTTTCCCTCTCCCTCTCAAAGCTACCTCAGAAGGGCAGGGCAGAATGGATAGAGATGGGAACATGGAGTAACAATGGAGTAACAAAAACTCAAGTTATGATTACTGTCCCTCTGCGATTCAAACAGGCATGCTTCCAGATCAATGTCCGCTCTGCCAGGAACACCCAGAAAGATCATTTTGCTACCTGGATCATCCAAAACACCTTCCATTCAAGCTCGCCCTCCTTCCCCTGGCAACATTCGTCCACCAAAAAATGAGAAAAAGGAAACACTGCAGGAATCTGAGAAGATAACTGAACAAAAGTCTAAAAAAACAGCTTCAAGTCCCAAAGTAGCTATAAGTGAAGAGCCTTGTAAACCAGAGTCTACTCAAAGTAAGGATCAGGTTATCAGCCTTCCAAAATGTTCCTTATCCAATTAAGTGCTTTGCTCCCTTTTCATTATGTAGCTTTTGGATATTGTTTTGAACCAATGTGGATAATTGTAACGGGTTTATTTTCAGTGGTTTAGGTTGGGAAGCTAAGCAGGGTTGGTTATTAGTTAAATGGCAGAGCAGAGAAACTACCAGGATCACAGGCTAGAATGGACCTAGATGTCTGCATGAAATCACTGGGACTATTTGTTTAAAAATTGACTGTATGCTATTTGTTTTGTTTTTAAACCGAAGTGGGATATAGTTTAAATGACTGAACTGAAATACTTGTCATAACATTCACATACTCTACATGTTCTAACTAGTGATTATTTCAGACGTTAAGATCTCACTGAGCAATAATTCATGAATGTCTCTCTCTTGTTAATGGCCATTCTGACTTAATGGAGCTGCATCCTCCTCACTCAGTCATGCCCCACAGGAATGCACAACCTGTCTATCACCAAAGTTATCTGTGCTCTCACTAAAGTACTGGGTGTGGTCTTCCAAAACTCTCCCAAAATTACTGAGAAATTGCAGTTTTAAATGTACGTGGGGTTATTAAATCATGGAAAGTAATTACATTAATTGAGTTTCAACGATTAGTGTTAGTGAGGATGAAAAGATTAGACCCTAGGCCCCTGAAGTATGGGATACCTTAGGGCGCAGGTCTCTTGCTGCTCTTCTGTAATGTGCATTGGGTGAAGTCATTCAACAGCACAGAATGCATTATCATCAGTGTGCTGATGATACCCGGATATATATTTCTCACATTAGCCAGCTAGGGGCGGACCCAATGCCTGGGCAGGAACCGATTCTGACTCAATCCTAGCAAGACAGAGTGGCGTTGTGTTGTCTTTGCTCAGTGAGGTAGCACTCCCCTGAACAGAGGTTATGTGGAATTCAGGACTCTTCCTAGGCTCATGGTTCATGAATGTGTGCTGTCGCCGGGGTGGGCTGGAGGGTAGGGGGTGGTGGTTATTATTTTATTACTTTTATTACATTTATTTTTATTTCCTTTATATTGTGCTTTGATATCTTGTAAGTTGCCTTGAGTCGCCACGTGAGAGTAGGCAGCAATGTAAAATTTCTAATTAAGTAAATAAAAGGAGCCATGGCTAGCGTGTCTTTGTACAACAGACTCATCTGGTGCTCCAGTTGCACCTGTTGTTGTTGCCAGTCGTTCACGCTTTGGTCACTTTCTTTTTGGATTACAGCAACATGCTGTACATCGGTCTTCCCTTGAAGACCATCCAGAAGTTGCAACTGGTCCAGAATGCAGCAGTGTGCATAGTTCTGAGCACCTGGTGGTTCCCCATATTATATTGCTGCTGCATTGGCTTCTTTTTGGATGCAATTCAAAGTGTTGTTTATCACTTTACAGTCCTGAATGGCACAGGGTCAGGTTCTTTAAGGGACTGCCTCTTCCTGTGGATGTCTATTTGTCTCACTAGAGCAGGGCTTTTCAACCAGTGGTACGGGTACCACCTATGGTACATTGGCACCTGGCAGGTGGTACGGGACCATCCTAGAAAGGTGGTAGCGGGGGAGGGGAATGAGCTGAACCAGTGGCAGCACCGCACAAGCCTGAGCGAGAGATGGCTGGACCTGCAGGGCTGTCAGGGCTCAGCGGAAGCGCCAGGATCAGCGCCAGGCTCCAGCCGGAGCTCAGCACTGATCCTGGTGCTTCTGCTGAGCCCTGAAGAAGCACCAATCAACTGGAAAGCAGCACAGATCCTGGTGCTTCTGCTGAGCCCAGAAGAAGCGCCGATCAGCTGGAATGTTGCAGCATCTCCAGGGTCTTGTGATTTACATTCAGATGCTTGGCAACTGATTCATATTTGTGACGGTCACAGTGTCCCAGGGTTATGTGAAGTGACCAAACCCTGCTGCAACCACCCAGCAGACGGGGGGAATAAAAACCAAACACCCCCCACCCCACCCCCGCTGCCAATCCTCAACAGAAATGCTCACAACAATGAAAGCCTCAGACAGGAGGAAGAGCGCCGCCGGGCGGGCAGGCAGGTATCTTGCTCGGCTGTGGTTTGGGGGGCACTTTTTTCTGTGCCACTGTAACTTCAAATAGTTACTAAGCGAACTGTTGTAAGTCGAGGACTACCTGTACTTTATCACTTTTTCCCTTTTTTGGGGGGGTTATCAAGTTTTTGACACCTTGCTAGGCGACTGGTGGTACTCGGATGTTGCCATATTCTAAAAGTGGTACAATGGGTGAAAAAGTTGAAAAGCCCTGCACTAGAGGGTGCGTTCACTCCAGTTCTTCTCTTAAATGTCATCTGATAGGATCTAGGAAGCTATGAAACAACCTCCACTAAGGTCTGGCAGGGTCCTACCCCCCCTAACTTTCAGGAAGGCCTTGGAAAGTTGGCTCTTCCCCCAACCATTTGACCCTTTTACTCCTATTTATATGAGCCACCCGGATTTATTGTATATAGAATGGGTTGTCATACAGTGTATATTGCATAAATAAATACAACATAAACATATAATTTATTATTATTATTATATTAACATTACATTTCATCAGTTGTAATTTTTGGCCCAGGTCTTTTACATTTGTTTGCTCTGAACCCATCCACTTCTCAGCCTCAACTAGTAAATGGAATCTTTGTATTTTATAGTTTTCCTTTTCCAGATGTTGTGTACTGTACATGCCTTTTTTTTTTTTTTTTTTTAAAAGATCCCAACTCTGTTGGTATAAACCCGACTCTTCTTCCCTTATTGCTTTAGGTCCTGTTCCAGTCCTGCCCTCTGTTCCTTCAGCAGCTTCACCATCTCCCATCTGTAACAAACTTTCAGCGGGGACCACAGATCCAGAAGAAGCAACCCGGTTGCTTAGTGAAAAAAGGCGACTCGCCCGGGAGCAACGAGAACAGGAGGAGGAGCGAAAAAAGCAGCAGGAAGAGACTGAAAGGTGATCAACTCACAGTTGCCCTAATGGAGAAAATGCACTTTTGGATATCTGCTTTGAACACACCGTGGGCCAAGATAACAAAACAAAGCATTTGTATAAAGCTTATATTCTATTCATCTCCATGGTTTAGCAGAAGCAGGCTGTTAAAGATAGCTCTCTCTGGAATAGTGTCCGCCCAACAACCTAAGCCAGACTAAATAACCAGTGCCATATAGGCAGGACTGTTTTTATGGCTGTAACAGCTACAGTAATAGATTTGTGTCAGTCTGAATGTGCTTCCCCCTTCCTTCCTTAATCTTCACGTGAATTAGGGAGGAACTTGTCCAAGATGTTTTCTCAAATTATTTTCTTGACCTGAGCTCAGGAAAATAATTTGAAAAATTATTTGACCATTGCCTTGCTAGTGGCTCTTCCTCCTGTCTTTCTAAGCCAGTGATGGCGAACCTTTTAGAGACCGAGTGCCCAAACTGCAACCCAAAACCCACTTATGCATCGTCAGGTGCCGGGTGGGTGTGGCCCATTGGCTGGGTGTGGGCAATTGGGGGTGTGGCCCATTGGGTGGGCATGGCTGCGGGGGTAACGGCAGACTGGGTGGGACTAAAAAGTTCAATCAATCAATTCCAACTTTGCAAGATCTTTTTTTTCCCCACGAGAAGTTGAAATTGATTGATTGAACTTTTTTTTTTCCACACGGCGGCGGAGGCCTAAAGCGAAAAGGTTTTATAAAATTCAGCTGAAGGCCTAGGACTGGGGCGATGGTGCGCGTGCCCATAGAGAGGGCTCTGAGTGCCGCCTCTGGCACCCATGCCATAAGTTCGCCACCACTGTTCTAAGCCATTCCTTCTGCCCTTTACAAATAGAGATTATACTGTTTAGTACAATGTGATAATTTATATAGATTGTGCTGGTTGTATAGATTTTATGCAATCTAGATTCTATAGGTTTAATGTGATAAACAGTATAGATGATACAGATTAACTTAGAGCCAGATGAGTGTGATGATTAAGGCATTGGCCTAGAAACTAGGAGGCTATAAGTTCTAATCTTACCTTAGGCATGAAAGCCGACAGAGTATTTTTGGACCAGTCACTCTCTCTCGGCTCAACCCACCTCATAGAGAACTTGAAAGAGAAAGGAGTATTAAGTATATATGCTGTCTTAAATTACTTATAAAGTAATAAAGGTGAATAAAATCAAATAAGTAAATGGACAGTATGATCCAGATGTTCAAAAGGACAGCATCATTTCTCAACCTTTGATTGTCCAATTGTATTGAGGTCAACTCCCATCATTTCAGCCATCGGCCATGTTGGCTTGGGAGATAGAAGTTGTATTTCAAAATGCTGGAGAGTCCTCATGTTAGAAAAAGCCACTCTAGTGCCTCTTAGGTAGTTCTTACTTCAACAAATGCATGGATTTTGCATTCTCATAAACCCTTGCACCAGTATCTCCAAGTTTGTGCCACTTGCATTCTGAAATGATGTAGAAATGTTAGAAATATGAACTCTCTTACTCACATTCTCTAGATAAATGGCATGTTTCTGTCTCGAGAGAGAAAAGTAAAACCAATAGCTCAGGATCCACTTCTTTAGCTAGGTGGTTTATATCCCACCTTTTGTTCAAGAGCTTAAAGTGGAGTACTTAAGTATCTTTTCTTCTATTTTTTCCCCCAGCACAGCAACCTGGTGAGGAAAGTTGGGTGGCTCCAAGTCAGCCAATGAGTTTCTATGTTTGAAGGAAGGCTAGAATATGGCTCTTTCTGCTCATAGCCTAATCCCTTCATCTTTATACTACAGTAGATCTTGTTAGACCTGCTCAACACCGTCTTAGATATCCTTCCACAGGATATCTGTAATTTGGTTTCTGGCACCAAGCAAGATTTCAAATTTCTCGTGATTCTATTTAAGGAGATTTCCCAATTAATCCAAGTATAACCTTCAGTTTACCTCAGATAAAGTGAGAAGAGGAAGCATTTCCTCCTTTTTTTTCCATTCCATTCTGTATCATTTATTCATTTTGGAGGCAGGGATGGTCTGACATGCTAAAACAGATGCTGTATTTGTTTATTATTATTATTTTTGTCAGTTTTACCCACCCATGCATTTGTCTAATACACCATTGTTTCCATTAGACAAAAGAAGGAGACCTTGGCGCAAAAGATAGCTGAGGAAAGAGCGCGCCGAGAGGAGGAAGCTCAGAAGCAGGAGGCAGAAAGGAAGCAAAAAGAAGCAGAACAGGAACAGGAGGAGGAGGAGCTACGACGCTTGGCTGAAGAAAAGGAGGAGAAAGAAAGGAGAGAAATGGAACTCCTTCAGAAGCAGGTATGTAAACACCAGTGGGTTTTCAGATTGTATCTTGTACAAATGGCTCATTGTTCTGTGGATTTGCATGAAGGAAAGCAAGGAGATGCAAACAGTGGCATCACTGGACAGGGAAGGAGTTAAAAAAGTTTAGATGGCAGCCATGACTCCATGGTTGAAGCCCCATCAATCCCATATATGTGTTGATGTTCCACACATGGAGAAAGCTGCAGAACTTTGCACTCCTGCAAGTACCATCTTGATAATGCTGGACCAAAAGCATCTTTTAGAAAAAAAAGTTTTCCATGGAATTCAGTACTGCTGTTCTGCTGGTTCTAATACAGCTGGTCCCTCTGCCAGTGTAAAAGCATGTAAGCATCCATTTGCAACTCCTTAACCAATTCTGTTTTTTTCTTGGGACCGTGTGACATTTCAGAAGGGCAGTTGTCAGGCTTAGCCCAAGAACAATGTAAAACAGAGTTCAGTTCTTTATTTCCTTACACAAAATAGATAGAATCTCGCCAGACTAAACCCTTATTCTCATCCTAACAGGCATATCCTGGAAGATTCTAGGGAGTGGCTATCCTAACTCTCTTCCTCTGTCTCCTATCCAGCTCTGGGCTGGGCTGCCTCTTGTCTGCCTCCCCCCACCCGGAATGTTTCCTGGGAAACTGCCACTTCAATATAGTCTATCAGATCACTTCCCCCTCCGTAGGCACCATCCCTCAAGCTATCTCTAGAATCGATCAGCTACTTTAAGGAATAGTAACAGGGTTTATGCAAGCCACTCCTCCACTGATACTCCAGAGGACATTTTTGCCTTTACAATCGATACGTCTTTGTATACAAAATATGTATGACTGTGGGTTTTGTATATTGGTATATTTTCTCTGGAAAGACTCCTGGTAGTTATAAAAAGTTATACAGTATTACCTTCCTTCTGTCCATATATTTAGGACCTGTTCTTTCTGAAGT